CCTGTGTGTTTCTTACCCTGGTCGTTACCTACTTGAAGGTCATGTTTGCAGCCCAGGGCCTCTCATCAGCTAACACTTCAGCCAAGAAAGCCAGAAACACTATACTCCTTCATGGCGTACAGCTGGCCATGTGCCTGCTCTCCTACATATCTCCAAGTGTGGAGATTGTTCTACTCATCATGTTTCCTGGTCGAATTCTTGAAATCAGATACGCAAACTACCTACTTGTTTATATTCTGCCTCGGTTCCTGAGCCCAATAATCTATGGTGCGAGAGACAAGAAGTTTAGGAAATATTTCAAGAAGACTTTGCTGAGATGCCGCTGTAAGTACACTGTAAAGCCAGTGGCCCCACTTAACAAGGAAAGAATGTGAAAATACTTTTTACTTTTGGTTTTGTATTTGTGCTTCCCAAAAAATAAAGTTTAATTAAAATTTAAGGATATTATTATTGATTGTTTTTTTTTTACTTCCTGATAAGAAGTAATTATATGTTTACAAGATACTTGTCTATTGTATTATATACACACACACACACACACACACACACACCCACACACACACACGCCTGGGAGTTTGAGGGTTCTGCGCAGTATCTTGGCTGTTCCTAGGACTGCGCTCTTCTGGACAGAGACCTCTGATGTTTTACCTGGAATCTGCTGTAGCCACTCTCCCAGTTTGGGGATCACAGCTCCCAGTGCTCCAATTACCACTGGCACCACTGCTGCTCTCACTTTCCACATCTTTTCTAGCTCCTCCTTCAGTCCTTGGTATTTCTCAAGCTTCTCATGTTCTTTCTTCTTGATGTTGCTGTCGCCTGGGATTGCCACATCTATCACTGCTGCCTTCTTCTGCTGTTTGTCGATCAACACGATGTCTGGTTGGTTAGCCATCACCTGTTTGTCAGTCTGGATCTTGAAGTCCCATAGGATCTTAGCTCGGTCATTCTCAACTACCTTAGGAAGTGTCTTCCATTTTGACCTTGGGACTTCCAGCCCATACTCATGGCAGATGTTCCTGTACACTATGACAGCTACCTGGTTGTGGCGTTCCATGTATGCACTTCCTACCTGCATTTTACACCCTGCTGTTATGTGCTGTATTGTTTCAGAGGCATCTTTGCACAGTCTGCATCGGGGGTCCTGCCTGGTGTGGTAGATCCCGGCCTCTATTGATCTTGTACTGAGTGCCTGTTCTTGTGCTGCCGTGATTAGAGCCTCTGTGCTGTCCTTCAGTCCAGCCTTTTCCAGCCACTGGTAGGATTTTTTGATATCAGCCACTTCTTCTATTTGTCTGTGGTATACGCCGTGCAGCGGCTTGTCCCTCCATGATGGTTCTCCTTCCTCTTTCTTGTCCTCACTTTTGGTGGAGCCACTTACTGAGGGGATAAAGGCTGGAGGTAATCAAAGAACATGATCCTCACAATGCTGTCTGCCTTGTCTAAGTGACAGTGTGTTTGTTGTAGCAGGTGTATTATGGCATCATCAACCCCACGGCAATAAGCAAACTGCAGGTGGCCTTGATAGCTGCTTGTTTGCTTGCTGAGGTGAACCAACAGAACTCTCTCTAGGCCTTTCATTATATGGGATGTCAGTGCAATAGGTCTTTAGCAGTAAAGGACTGTTGGCTGACCCGCCCTCTCCACTTAAAAAAAAATGCACATGAACAACCCTGTACCCAATCCAGAGAGGGAATGCCTATTAAACGTGTGCAAGAGCATGCACAAACCCTTTTCTCCTTGTGCACTCTCTGTTTAAAAGTTGCTGTTTGCATCGCTTATACAAGCTTACTTTCTAAAAGATTTTCAATTTTTCCACTATGTCAGACTCACCACTGGTAAGTGAAAATGTGGACGAGCATGTAGGACGGCTTTACATAAACATATCACCAGAATGATTGACAATTAGGACCACTTATTTTGATGATCTACCCAGAAAAAGAACATCCTCCACTAAACCTTCAAGTGTTATGATCTGCCCTGATAGCTCATCTTAAATATTCTTTTCACTCACTTGCCTAACTCTGCCCGGTTTTCTTATTAGCGCTCATCTCATCTACCTATGTCAGTTCCTTTATATTCAGTTCAGCCCAAGCTATCGGGGCCAGATAATTTTTTGCTGTCTTTTTGGTTATGCCTATTAGTTTGTCTGTTTAGTTTATTCTATGGTTCATATCCTGGTTTCCAACAGCCAGTAGAGCAAGAGGGTTTTGGTGTTTGTCCTGTCTTTTGATTGTTTCCTGATCCCTCTTCGCAGAGCCCTCAGGGTTTTGGTTCGGAACGTCTAGAGAGTCCGTTTTATTTTTGTAAGTGTAGCTCCTAGGAGGAGAGCAAGTCCTGCTGAAACCCTGGTACTACGTCTTGTCTCAGCTTCCCTCAACCACTGAGCCTGCCGGTCTTCATCTGTACTGTACCTGTCTATCTGGCCACACCTCTGGACCCGTCTGAACCTGCCTTCACGCTCTGAAGATTCCTGGAAGCTTGGATCCCTCTGTTCCTGCTTGGATTGGAATCTCTGATCAAACTGAGAACTCCTGGATTCCTATACTGTTCCTGCCTAGATCATACAGTCAGATTGGTTCAAAGTTTTCCATCTAAGGGAAAACCAAATGATTGCATTGACTTATTGACTTGACAGCAATCCCTCACTCCAAGCATCCTTGTTGCAACATTGGAGCGGAAAACCTCCTTTTAACAGGAATAAACCTCCAGCAAAACCAGGCTCAGTATGAGCGGCCATCTGCTTCTGTCAAAGAGACAGAAGCAGACAAAAAAAAAATGAAGCAGAGATACACAGGCAACTGTCAACCAGTGCCACGGGTGGCTCTGTCCAGGAAACACACAGCCAGGCAGATTATCTCCAGCCAGCTCCAATGACAGAGGATGAAAGAGAACACATACAGTTAGTCACAGTAAGAGAAACAGGACTACACTGAGAAACATGCTAAGCTCGAAAATCTATAAAAGGTGTTGATGGCAGCAGCCCAGCTGATATTTTTTTTCCAGGATGGTGTCATAGCCAAACAGGAACAGACCAGATGAAGCAACTATGATGAGAAAAGGCAGAGAGGGCATAACGTTAGATATTTACCTAACAAGTACTGCAGAATAGGAGAATAGAGATATAGTGATGAAGAGGGGTCGCTATGTCCTCCAGCAGTCTAGGCCTATAGCAGCACAAATGGAGAAAATAGCTCGGGACAACCTAAGTATTTTGGACGAGGTTTAAGAAAAGTAAAACCACACTGTGGCCAAGGCAGAGCCAAAAAGAAAGGCCTATCTGGACTGAAGTTCTCTGCCGCTGGATCGGGCTGTTAATGTCCACCTACATCTCTACTTGCCCAGCGACTAAGCGCACATAACTGTTTTTAACTATAAGATTTATACAATAGGAAAGTTTTAAGCCTACCCTTAAAAGTAGACGGAGTGTCTGTCTCACATACTAAAACTGGTAGTTGGCTCCACAGGAAAGGAGCCTGATAACTAAAAGATCTGCCTCCTACTTTTAGAAATTCTAAACTAGTAAATATGCAGATTGAGAGCGAAGTGCTCTGTTAGGAACATAAGGAACAATCAGATCTCTGATATAAGATGGAGCTTGGCCATTTAAGGCTTTATATGTGAGAAGGAGGATTTTAAATTCTATTCTGGATTTAACAGGAAGCCAAAGAAGAGAAGCCAGGATAGGAGAGATATGATCTCTGTTTTTAATTTTCATAAGAGTTCTGGCTGCAGCATTTCGGATCAGCTTAAGACTTTTAACTAATGATGAATTATAAATTACAGTTTGCAATAAAAATTCTATAATTTCATATTAATAACTATCAATACAATGCATTATCAAATAGACAAACTGAATTATTTACTAAAGTTAAATTAATCAATCAATCAGCCAACCCTTCAGACAATAAAAATTAGTTTGTGCTTTATTAGTCTAAATATGTGCTTTAAAGGCCATTTAACAGGACAAACAAAACTGATTTACACACATTACCGTTCTAGATCAGCCTTTCTCTTTTTATCTTATAAAGTCCTATACCTAAAATTTTTGTCATCTTAAAAGTGAAAGTAAAAAGTCGTAAATCAACAACAAAACCTAATAAACAGTTAAAAAAAGATTTGGCTTCTCTCATGTTAAATATAACATTCTGGTGAAGGTCTAGGTTGCTTTGACTGCTTCCCAAAACATTCCTTCTCATAGACTTATAAAAAAAAGGAATAAATGTGTTGAAGGATATTCAGAACATATTAGTAAAATTCTGGAAAACTGCAACAAAATCATTATTCCAGATTTATAGGAGGATTACAAAGCACACTGTTTGCATATGCTTATTAGAGGAGACTATCTAATCTGTTACATCATAGCCTTCAGCCTATCCCTATAACTCAGTAATAGTGACTCATGGATAAAAGCACTATCAGACTTCTTATAAATACGAAAGAACATGTATCTCACAATCTCACAAAGTGAGATTTCAGTCTTCGGTTTATAGATGTGAGTATATAACACTATTTGTTATTGAATGTAGAAGCTCTTGAATACCAAGCTCATAAGTTTAACTGCATTTATCCACATCTTCAAGATTATTTAAGAACAGAAATGATTGTGTTTGGCTAAGAATGATAAAAAGGAATCAGAATTTTATGCTCATTTTGTTTATATAGATCATCTTTTTACAACAGTAACATATTGAGATATATTTGTTTTCTATTACAGCTCCTTTTCAGAGTCTAAAACATGAGTTTTAGACACCTCTCCATAAGGTATGTGTATGAGCATGATCTATTTTATAATAAATCTTACCTGTTTGCCTATAAGTATATTATCAATATGTTTATAGGAGGTTTAGTTAAGAAAATGTTTTGTCAAAATTGTTACTACAACATCTTCCCTGTGATATACGGGGAATCTTCCCTAACCACAATTTTAAATCTTTTTTTAAATGGAACTTGATTTCAAAATCTAAACATAAATTTACCTTTCTCCTTCCTTAGACAGTAAGGAGGAGAAATAAAAAAAAAAAAACAATTCCTCCTCCTCCAAACACATGGCTCTTCTTATGAGTAATAACAGCTCTATGCAGACAGGGAGTGATGTGGCCCTGCCTAAAGAAAGCTTCTCGAATGCTCTGACTAAAAACATAGTGGCTGTGATGGTGTGGCTGGTCCTCAGCATCATCAACAGCAGCATGGTGCACACCTTTTTACGGCACAGGTATGGCTGTTTCTTTCAAATTTGAGAATTTCTGATTAGAAACAGAATTCTGACAAAAATGATCTGTCATATAATGTGACATTTAACCACAGATAAAGACATAGCTATGAATGAATGTGTACAAATGAATATAATATATTTATTTTTTTGTTAAATAAACACATTATTACTTGGAAAATTCATAACAGGACAGTCTTTATCATATCAGTAATTTGCATCAGCTGCTGACTTATCTGCTCTCTCTAACGTGAACATATAAGTGTCCATTTCTCTCTCAGCTTATTTCTCTTGACCCTAGTCTCTTCTACGAGAACTCCCGGTACATCATGTTTATCTGCATGGTTGTCAACGATGCTCTGCAGCTCACGCTTGTGACGACCCTGTATGTGATCAGCTACATCTTCAGAAAGATCAATGTCTCAGTCTGTTGCCTCCTGGTAAATTCTGTGTATTTTCCATCAGCTTTTTCCCACAGAATGTCTGAAATAAGACTGCTGTAGCTACCTATTTATAGAGAAATTTAAAAGATGTTTTTCATCATTTAAGTGTTGACACAGCCAAATATTGGAAGTGTGAAGAATAAAAAATACAATGTGTGAAAAGAAGGGGGAAAAAAGCATTTTAGTGTAAAAAAGCTTTTCCTTGATCATGCAACTCCCAATGCTACAGTATGTTATTTTGTGTCTTTTATAGAAGGTAAAATACATAAGGCCTTTCTGATTATAGCCTTTAACAGAAATATCTGCAAAAATGTCTCTGGTTACACGCGTCAAATACATTATTTTAAGAAAAGGTGAATTTACAATACAAACTGCTGCTAGTTTGTGATTGAAATCTACTAAATAGACTATCTGTACCTCTCTGCGTTATTATTCTGACCAACTCTACAACATATTTACACCATCTTTAGGTGATGACAGCTGTTTTCACCACCCGCTTCACCCCTCTCATCCTAGCTGGCATGGCTGTGGAGCGCTTCATCGCCATCTGCATCCCCCTGCGCCACACCAACTTGTGCACAGTGCCCCGCACCCTCCACCTCATATGGATCATCCTTCTCCTTGCTGCCACCCCTCCAATCACTGACCTCCTCATCACCATCTTCAAGGAGCCTCCGAGTTTCTTCCACAAGGCCATTTTTTGTGACCATTCTTTTCTTTTCCGTGATCCTTCCATCTATTACAAGAACAGCGTGTTTGATGGGTTGTACCTCTCCTTTGTGGCCCTCACGCTGCTATACACCTACTGCAAGATCATGCTGACAGCACAGGCTGCCTCAACCAGCCTGGCATCCGTGAGGAGAGCCAGGAACACTGTGCTGCTTCACGGAGTGCAGGTGACATCTTAATACTAAGGAGCAGAATCATTAAGCATTGCAACACCAAAAGTTGACCTGCAATTAATATAGATGTCTGAATATTAATTAAACTATATCATCCTTTTTCTTAATCTAATTGATTTTATTCCATCACTCACTCACCGATTTGTAGGATTCTACTTTATGTAAATACAAAAATAATAGATATGATATCCATATTTATATATATATTAAGAGTAAAACAGTAAAACCTACCTAGATAAAAAAAACTATTGTTAACAAAATTTCTGATATAACTACTTTCCAAATGTCAGAAAGCTGCAGAAGTGCTGCAAAGAGTCTTTCTGTTACAAGTTTATTTGAATTAATTTATTTAATAAATATCAGCAAAATAACGTACAGCTTATTTAATAATGGGACTTATTTGTCCTATTTAACCAAATTTGATAAAGATGGTATCAAAACTTTGATTTTTTTTTCACATATTGCTACAAGTGTAAGCATTTATAAATAACATAATATGTATTTTTTGTTGATTTTATTTCTTTGTTTCAATATTTTTTTAAATAAGGTGATTTTGCTCTGTGTATTTATTTTTTCTTTACTATGATATTGCTTTTCTTATACTGTTTTATTCTTTAAGTGCATGAAAAGGTTATTTAAGGAAAATACCATTTTGATATGAAATGTTGGTACATGGTTTAGTTTATATTACTTGGTCTTAAACTTTATTTGCCTTTTCTTTTACAAATAAAATCTCCTTCAATCTTCATTTTTTCATTCTTCATTTTCAGTTGCTGCTGTGCATGCTCGCCTTCGTGGTTCCTTCCCTCCAGGCTGCTCTGATCTCCCTTTTCCCCCAGCTGTCCCTGGAGATCCGCTACATCTTCTTCTTGCTCGTCTACATCATTCCCCGCTTCATGAGTCCAGTTATCTATGGGTTCAGGGACGAGCTTTTCAGGAGGTACTGGATCCGCTATCTGTCCTGTCAGAAGATCATTCGGGTCCAGCCTAAAGCTTTAAAAGAAACTTGCAGGTGAAATTAATGGAAATTATGTGGGAAGCATGACACCCAACATCTGTAATGCATTGGCTCCAAATGTAAAGAGGGCATTGTGCTGTGATTTTTAGAATTAATTATAAATGGCATCTGTTTGTTTCAAATTCCTGACTATTGTGACTGTTAAATGAATTTATTTGACCAGCGTGTCAATTCAAATATAAGTTGTGCCAATCACATGGAAGCAACTCAATGAATTTAAGCATCTAGTCATGTTGGAATGAGGAATGGCATGATTTTCTTTCCAGCTGTTCTGGATATTTGAAACTGTTAATTTTAACTAACAATTATATGTTGATTTTTCATAGAATGATCAAAAAATGTCCTGTTACATTTTTTATTTGCTTCGTGAATATCAAATCACTCTCATCAATAAAATATATTCAGAATACACAAATACACAGAATTAAGGCAGAAGAATACACAGGAGTAAGGCAGAAGGAAATTGACAGAAAGTCCCAAAAAACAAGTACAAATGTGTACAGATGTTGGTATCACTTATAAAGGAAAAACTCACTATGGTCTCAGAAAAAAAAATGAATGTGACAAAAGTGATAGATATTAATTTTATGAAAACAAACAAATAACTAAGACATTGCTTTTCATCATTTTTTTACAGAATGATCTGAAAAAAATCAACTTATGAAACAGGCCTGGACAAAAATAATGGTATCCATAACTTGGGTACAGTAATCACTCTAAACCAAATGATCCCTATAAATGTCAATGAGACTTCTGCTTCTTTCAACAGGTATCCTTATGAGCAAACAGCTCCAGTTGCCATAGGTACGATATTCAATAGAATTTAGATTAGGTTTCATAGAAAACCACTGTACACTGCAAAAAATTGAAATCTAAAGAAGTCAATTTTTCTTAAAATAAAGGAATTTTTTTCTTGAGTTGAGGTGATAAGTAAGACACTTAGAACCAATAGCCAATAGAACAAGATAATTTACATTTAAAATAAGAAAAAACTTTTGCATTGTCTTATTTCAAGTGCATATTTTCTTATTATCTTATTTTAAGAGTAAAAATACTAATTATATTGGTAAACTATCTTATTTACCTGCTCAAATTAAGAGTAAATAAACTTAATTTAAGACATTTTTGGCAGAATAGTCCAATGTGTTCCTTTCAGCCATTCTTGGCTGTTTCTAGCTGTGTGTTTTGGGTCATTATCTTGTTGAACGACCCATCACACTGGGCAGCATATTTTTAAATGGAATTCACAGATAGTTTTGATATTTTATTTTCTCAATTTAAACTATTTTAATTTAAAGATTAAAGAGACCCTGTGGCAGATGACGTAAACCAGCTCCAGAACATAACATGTTTCACATTAGGGACACTGTTCTTTTCTTGATATGCAAGAAAGTTCTTTTGTCTCATTTGCCCATAGGGTATTCTCCAAGACGCTTTTGTTTGTCAAATTCCTGTCTGGATTTTTTTAGGATTTGTTTCCAACAATGGTGTCCTGCTTGATCGTCTCCCATTAAGTCCAATTTGGCTGAAGCAATGACGGATGCCGTTATCTGACTCTGATTTTCCTTGAGCTTGAAGCTTGTTTTTCAACTCTTTAGTTTTTTCCGGGCTCTTTTTTAACCTTTCTTATTGTCAGTCTGTTTGGTTGTCATCTGTTTTCCTCCTGCAGGGAGGTCTGGATAGTAAATTTCTTCATATGTGAAACTGTAATCGCAGAAACATCAAGATGCTCTAAGATGGCCTCATAGTCTTTACCTTTAACATGCTTGTCTTTAATGTCTTTCTAAACTCCTGTGACAATTCTTTCCTTTTCTTCCTCTGGTCCATGTTGAGTGTGGTACACACCATGTCACCAAACAGCACAGTGACTGCCTGTAGCCCTATAAATAAGCCCATTGACTGATTACATGATTGTAGAACCTTATGATATGAATTAGTGAACACGCCTCGGTTTAACACGACTTTTGGTCACATTATTTTCAGTCTTTTAAATGGGTACCGTCTTGTTTGTCCAGGCCTACTCCATAAGTTAATTGCTTGTTGCTGCTTTTTTAATTACTATTATTCTGTTGAAGTATAGTTAAAAAGCAATGTCTGACTTTCAAATTTGATTTTAAAAGATTTTCTTTTTACTTTTCTCAGAATCAAAATATATCTGTGAACCACTTTGTTGTTTGACTTTGATTTTTTTTTTTTTTTTTTTAAAGAAGTAACACATTTTTTTCTGAGTGTATCTATTCCTCAGTTTGTAAAGGGGCTGGGTCTAAATTATTAATTATGTCTGCAATTAACTAACTTGATATTTTACACAAATATAAAGTCCACATAAATTTAGTTTTCTAGCTTTTAGCACCTATAATTATCCATATATTACTTATACAGCCAATAGGAACTCTCTCACCTTGGAAATCTTAGTATAGGAGCAACACTACATTTGAGCCACCAGATGGGGTTATGACCACAGTGATGCTTCAAGCAATACGTTTTAGAACAACTTGAAAAAGAGGGGAATTTTATTTTTATATTAACCTATGAAAGTATTTATCACTGTTTCTCTATCTTCGGTTTATTTAGAACTGAAATGTTTGTACAATTAAATATAAAACAAAGTAGTATTTTAATGAGGATTGAACAGATTTGGCTGTAATAAACACAGGAAAATCTACGGTAGTCATCCACTTCTTTTATGTTCCATTTTTCTATTATATTTGGTCTAAAGAATGAAACAAAGTAAATACTTTATTAGCTTACAAAGATTATACATTCATTTGGTTTATTTAAATAGATTTTTTGGTTTTAGAAAAAAGAGCCATCAAATCCAAACCTTGAGAAACATCTTGAGCCACTTCCTATTTGGCTGTAGTTTGTTAAAAAAAAAAAAACAGTACAAATTATGAAATTTAATTTAAAATAAAAAGATCTAACCCCTAATCTGACCCATGACAATAAAGGCACTGTGGGGTTTTTTTGTTTTTGTTTGTTTGTTTAAGAAAAATGTATTGTTGTAAAGTTGGCTTAATTGTGTGGTTTCAGTATAAAGTGTGGGGATTTTAATTTTTGAAGCATCATCTACCAACATTGCAACCTACGGAAGAGGATTAGGGCCACTGGAAAAAAAAAAAAAGTTAACTGATTTTTTTTATTTTATTTCAGTATAGTATGGGGGAAAAGTCAGAATTCTGACTTTTTTCTCAGAATTCTGACTTTTTTCTCAGAATTCTGACTTTTTTCTCAGAATTCTGAGATTAAAGTCAGAATTCTGACTTTTTTCTCAGAATTCTGACTTTAATCTGAGAATTCTGACTTTTTTCTCAGAATTCTGACTTTTTTCTCAGAATTCTCAGATTAAAGTCAGAATTCTGACTTTAATCTCAGAATTCTGACTTTTTTTCTCAGAATTCTGACTGAATTCTGACAATAAAAAAAGTCAGAATTCTGACTTTAATATCAGAATTCTGACTTTTTTCCCATGTTAAACTGAAATAAAATTTAAAAATCAGTTTACTTTTTTTCAGTGGCCCTAATCCTCTTCCGTAGGCAACCAACCCGTTTCCTCCCAGAAAAAAAGACAAAGCAGATAGATTTAAAAACGATTCCTTAAATGACCACTAAGTGTCGCCATTACACCATAAAACGTCGCTATAAAAACCTCGAGAGGTACTATTTGGATGATGTCCCCCATTTTCCGGACTATCACGGAAAAAGCCGAAGACTCCCCACTGAGACAGCTGAACGCAACCCGTAGTTCAGATGGTAGAAAGCTGCACCTCCACAGCTCAATCTGCTTTTTTTCTCTGCACTTTTCTGTTACAAATGAAAGAAAAGTCAAGAGTTTGTCTAGAGGATACGTTGGTCTCGCATTCTCTTTTATTTTTTCAGATTTGCAAAAAGAAGAAAGAAACTTCCTAAATAATCATGGGGTGAATCTAACATTTGAGGATCATTTTCGGGTGATGAAGGAGCGCCGTCAGAAAACTCAGACGTGAGTTACAATTAAAGACTTTCTCTCACTAAGATGTCTATCCAGGGTGCTTTTGAAATAATTCAGGCAAAAATGATTCCCACACCTATTGCTGCCTGCAGGTTGTGGATGTGTATAATAGTTTGTTGCATGCATCCTCTATAGCTGCGTTTCAAGCGGAAATGCTGAATTATAGATCAACTTTATTTCTATTTTCATCATTTGCTGTCCCACTGAGAGCTCAGCATCAGAGCATTTCATCATTCACAGTTGGAAGATGATTTGTCTGTTAATAATAGCTGTCTTCCCTGTTGTAAATTGTAAATAAAAAATAAATGTTATCATTAGTTGTGTGTTTAACCTTGAGTATTTTAATCACTCATTTATTTACTTTAGTTAATTAATAAAAGAAGATAAATAAAGCTCTAATTTTAAACAAAAAGTTTTCAGGTTTCATAAAATGTTATTCTCATTAAAAGACATACATGTAACTTTAGGCTTTAATTTCTTTGTTTTTTTGCAATATTTTATTTGCTGCATGGAGAAATGAAGCACTATGCTTGTTCATCTGTTGCTGCACACTGCTGCTCCGCTGGCCTAACTGAGACTCACACTTTTCTTTTGTTAATAGTAAACAACATTAACAAATCAATTGAATAAAATCTGTTTAACTGTATATGATTTCAGCAAAAAGCAACAAAGAAATTGTCTAACAAACTTGATTTTTTTGTTGTAATTTATGCGTTGAAAGAATAGTAAGAGCTTTTCATGTTTCAGAATTTGGTCTGCCGATCAAAGTAGGTAAAAATTGGCTAAGTGAGATCCCTGCTCAGTTAATTGATGCATTGCTGCAAAAGGCTGGGGAGAAAGTCTTCTCTGTTAAATATTGCTTCAAAGCTTTGGAAGGAAAATGTTTCTTTTCACTTAAAATCAGATACACAACCATGGGATTTTATTATCTAAAACCAGTTCAAGCTTTTTGTGAAGAAAGATCTATTCTACTTTTATATAGAAATGAAACATTAATGAAGACCTACTTTATGTGAAGAATTGAGATAGAAAAGAAATGCTGAAAGAAATGTTTCACGTCATGTAAAATGCTCAAGCTCAGGCTTTTTGTTTTTATCTAATTGTTTCTATTCTGTTTGTAGTTGAAAGCTAATTCAAACAGTTATTCAATATTTCTAAATATTTAGAAGACAAGTTGATTGTCAACTTTTGTCAGTTGTCAGGGTCTAGTTATAGGCAAGGCAAGGCAAGGCAAGGCAAGGCAAGGCAAATTTATTTTTATAGCACAATTCAGTACAAAGACAATGCAAAGTGCTTTACATGATTAAAATACAGGAAGATAAAACAGAATCAAAGCAAGCAAATAAAATAAAATAAAAAATGCAGAAACAAAAAAAGTATATTAAAAACAGTTGGATTAAAGAAAACATGTTTTTGTTGAACTGTTTAACTAGAACAGTCGAAGGCAATCCTAAACAAATGTGTTTTTAGTCTTGATTTAAAGGAACTCAGGCTTTCCGCACTTTTACAGTTTTCTGGAAGTTTGTTCCAGATAAGTGGAGCATAGGAACTAAATGCTGCTTCTCCATGTTTAGTTCTGGTTCTAGGTATGCAGAGCAGGCT